AATAATAGAATAATGTGAAATGACACATTTCCAATCTGGAGTCGCTGCAGAGCTTAAAATGGCATTGTAATTGAACACAGAATGACTGGCCTAACACAGTTTAACGAAGGATCAGGGCACATGCAAAACTAGTTAAACAAATTCATCCCACCATGACCTTTGAGTAAGTAAAATATTTACAGCTGAATAGTCAGTAACAGGTTGGTAACACCCATAATCCTCAGCTTTTCAAGTGTTGTTGCTCAGTACCGACATGCTAGTAATGTGTTTTGTAAGAACATTTAAAGGATTTATAGTAAAAGCCTTAGTTTTGTCCCCCTCTGCCCTCAGAGCGGTACCGCTCCCTGCCCTGTCCTTCTGCACAGCTCAAGTTTCTGGGGCTCCAGAGAGAGCTGGTGGACGACTTCCGCATACGACTCACACAGGTAATGATGACAGAGAGACGAGGGTAGTAATGGAGGAACAGCCCAAGTGTTGAAAGAAAGTTATAGTATGTATGACACCTGGGCTTAAATAAGAAATATTTATTTGAAGAGTTAACTAGGACAACAAGTCAGAGTTTCCCAGCCTTCTTGGTAACATTTCCCAGCTTGTTTCTGCCATGTGACAGTAATCGTGTCCATTTTGTCTGCTGGTAAATTTAACTTAGTTTTATATTTAGAGTATTGTAAGATGGAAAAGTAATACATTTTTTAACCACCTTTAATGTTGTGTCATGGTGTTGTCTCCGATGTCATGTTTGTTTGTTGCCTTTCTCCAGTTTTATCTTATTGCCTGTGCATGTATTACATATATTTGTTGTTAAGAGTAATGGCGGAGAGAGAAATCATTTTGAGAGATGGTTGATGGAATTATTTTCTCTTCTTCCCAGGTGATGAAGGAGGAGTCCCGCTGCCCTCTGGGGGCTCGATATTGTGCCATCCTTAACGCTGTGAACTACATTTCCACCATCCTGGGAGACTGGGGAGACAACGTGGTGAGTGGACCTAATAAAACGGCTGATTTGCCACAGCACAGTAGGAAGTGTCTCAACAATGCATCTGTACCCAAATCCATTTTTTTCATTTGAAAGCTAATTCACTCCAGAAAAACTCATCTACAGGCACCAAGTCCTGACCTACATTCTCTTTTATAAACATAACACATACAAAAAGATTTGTATTTCTCACGGAAAACTTGGGATTAAATGTAAAACGTTCTTTACTCCTTATGTTTTTCTTACTCAAAATCTTGCTTTCAAAATAACAACTCTCCATTATATTATCTAATACTCTGTGCTGTTATTGTTGACCTTCAGACCATCACAATGTTTAATAGGTGACACAGAGTATATATTTATGTTTTCACTCTTTCTCCAGTTCTTCCTGCAGCTGCAGCAGGCGGCGGTGTCCCTCGGGGAGGAGGGGGTCCTGGGGGGTCTGGGGGTGTTGGAGGTGGGTCGCCTGGCCTCTCTGGAGGGCTCTCTGTTCGAGGGTCTGCTGGCGCTGCTGGACCGGCTGAAAGGAGACATGATGGGCAGACTGCTGGAGTGGACCATGAGGGAGATCACAGAGAAGGTCCGCCCGTACGGCCAGGACCGGTGAGAGCCAGAGACCCTGATTTAATGCTTCACCATCGGGATGGGAAGGATGGGAACCCTGTATGCTGCAGTGGGGGGGGGGGGAGGATAGTTTATTGACCTGTAGTCCACCACGCTAGAGACATGGTTCTGGAAAAAGCTTAATTCCAGCTTTTGTCTGGGGCGGATTGTCTCTCCGTCCCTCCATCTTTGTATATTTTATTATACGATCTGCATCACACTCAGATCAGGTTGAGACTCTGAGACACTAATTGGGTGTCGTCAGCGTAGCAGTGGTCTGAAAAACCATGCGGGCTAATGACAGATCCGAGCGAGTTTGTGTACAGGGAGAAGAGGAGGGGACCAAGAACAGAGCCCTGAGGGACCCCTGTAGTTAATTGACAAGGGTCGGACTCGGACCCTCTCCAAGTTACCCTGTAGGTACGGTCTTTGAGGTATGAGGTGAGGAGGGAAAGTGCAGAGCCTGAAACTCCAAGTTTTTGGAGAGTGCGAAGGAGGATCTGATGGTTCACCGTGTCGAATGCAGCAGACAGGTCCAGAAGGATGATGACAGAGGAGAGGGAGGCTGCTTTGGCAGTGTGCAGTTCCTCAGTGACAGCAAGGAGGGCAGTTTCTGTGGAGTGACCTGCCTTGAAACCAGACTGGTGCGGATCCAGAAGGTTGTTCTGATGGAGATAACAGGAGAGTTGTTTAAAGACAGCGCGTTCAAGTGTTTTAGACAGGAACGGGAGGAGAGAGACAGGCCTGTAGTTTATAACATCGGACGGACAGAGGTACAATTATACTTACTTACATTATTATTGTTACAGTATTACAATTGTTAAACTAAGAAGGCAGCCACCCAGTAATAATAATAATGTTAACTAGGTACAGGAGTTCTAGTAAATGTGTGATGAAAGTTAGTCTATTACTAAAGCTATTTAATTTAAGTGAAGAAGTGACTCTCTTGGCCTCAGGGTCTCATTGAGCTGTTTAGTAGTCTGTTGCTGCCCTCTGGTGGACTCCTGTGGTACTACTGAACATGTTCACCTGGCCATCTACAAAGGACAGCATCAGTCCATTGAATTGTTTCAACGGAGCATTCTCCCATCACTTTTATTTCTTTAGAAAGTTTATTTGTTCTCAATCCCTGTTGACACCTCATGTTTGTCACCTGATTTCTCCTTTGCTTCTTTCATCATTTCTTCTCACATGTCTATTGCATGTAACCAGATGTTGATACAGGGCACTTGTTGTAAATGTGCACTCATTATTTGAATAGATTTTTAACAATTTATGTCTTTTGTCATGTTATGTCTTTTAGAAAATAAAATGAATTGAGTTGATTTGAGATTTAAGAACTAGGCTTAGCCCAGATGCTTACTGCCGAAAACAAAGACCTTAAAGGGAAACAAGAAGATAAACATTCTGAAATGTATTCCCCCCCGGTCTTCTCTCCAGGTGGTTGTCCCTGCCGCCCCAGCAGGACCAGTCCACCATGACCCTGTCCAGCTCGGCCTGTCCCATGATGCTTTGCGTGAGGGACCGGCTGTTGAACCTCCATCAGGTCCTGAGTTTCTCTCTGTTCCAGCTGGCCTGGCAGGGCCTGGCGGAGCGGCTGGACAACGTTCTCTACCAGGAAGTAAGAGACGTGTTTACTCTCACCCGCAAAAAAAACATTGTTAATCTCTTTAAGAAGAGCCCTAATGTGAACCCCTGTCTGCTTCTGTTGTTGTGTTTGTTGCTTTATAACCGCCAACGTGGTTTCCTCTCCATACCATTATAATATCGGTCTGTCTGTCAGGTGGTGCTGTTTAATCACTTCAGTGAAGGGGGGGCCGCTCAGCTTCAGTTCGACATGACCAGAAACCTATTTCCTCTGTTTGGCCACTACTGCAAAAGACCTGAGAACTTCTTTAAGCAGTAAGTGTGTGTTGAAGAATTCTGTGTTTCCTTTCATCACAGTTTAAGAAATGTATGTGCTAACATAATATAGTTTGAAGCCAGCTGTGGGACAGGAACTTCATCTGGTCTCTCAGTTAAATTATTTAATGGCTTGACGTGACATTATTCGTATCGGCAAAGCTTGTTTAAATGATGAAAAGTGAATTACATTGCAGTACAATCACGAACAAATGTTCACAAAACCAATGGAAAGAAAAGCACTGGTAACATTCCCTCCAACATTCCTCCCCCCCCCCCCCCACACAGTGTCAAGGAGGCGTGCGTCCTGCTGAGACTCAGTGCGGGCTCTGCCATCCTGCTGAGGAACCTCCTGAAGGAGTCGATGGAGGCGAGGGGGGGGGCGGCTGCAGGGGACCCTCCCCCAGAGTCGGCCCTCAATGAGCTGGGGGTCTACTGTTTGGCCCCTTGTGATGTTTTAATCCTCCTCAACCTCAGAGCCTCCTGGCCCGGACAGTAACAACCCCCCCCCTCCACCCGGCAATATTTGCTTGGCTAATCCTTCTAATGACATTATCCTTTGTAAAGAAGACAGGAAATAATACTGTTCAGATAATAAGTTAATACTATACTGTTTATACTAAAGACACTGTAAGAGTTTATTATTGTGTTGCACTATTCCTTGGGGACCCACATGCCTCCTGTAACCTCAGTATAAAAGTATACCACCACAACAAAGTAAACATAACAATAGTTATCTGTTCAAATGAATTGCATAATAAACCCTCCTGAGCTGCACATCTCTATCAATGGTCTCACTTTACTCTCAGAGAATTGTCATCTTCCCAGAATGCTGTTTGTGCCAGGATTGTTGCTACGTCTTTTATCTCTATCCCCTCTATCCCCTGTCTCTGAGCATGGAGACAGTAAACAGCTGTGTCCACTCCAGCTTTGGAGAAGTTTCCTCCAGATGCTGCGGTTGATAGGATTTTTATTTTAGGACTTTTGAGTGTTTATAATTTTTTTCTGTGATTTAAGACCTAAATACTATGTTTCTTTTGAAATGTTTAACATACTTTACTTGTTTTTTCCCCCATATTTTTCGGGATACTACCATGTCTTATTTCGACATAAAATACTCCGTTTTTCATTTTCGACATATTATGCATTTTTTCAACATAGTATACTGTTTTTAATTCAGATTTCTCGACATAATATACTATTTTTTGACATACTATACCATGTTTTTATGCATCTTTTCAAATCTACATAGTTTTGTCAACATAGTATGTTGAAAAAACAAGAAAAACAATAGTGTAGCTTTTGTAAAAACGGTATAGTATGTCAAAAATATCAGAAAAGCAACAGTAAATAATAACTAGACTTTACAGTTTAACCTTAAAATAAAAAATACTTTTATATAAATGTTAAATTGAATCCAGAAATGACCATTGATTATTTTCCGCCCACTATCTAACATTTTAAATAATGGAAGACATGCTGTACAATTGAGCGTTTTTTCGACATACATACACACAAACACCTTTAACACACCGTGTGTTTTTATTGAAATAGGCATAATAAATATCAGAACAAAGAAGTCAGTCCGACACATCTATTTGTCCGGTGGCATTCTGGCCATGAGCAGTCACTGCTGTCATGGCTTTGGGTAGCCTTTATATCGGGGTCAATACCACGATGTGTTCACCGTTCTAATAAAAGTTTGCAGTAGGAGGAATCCCAATCGTCCACAGCAATTCATCCCATCAGAAATGTTCCCTGTAGCCACGTGTAGCAAAGAGTTCGTACACAAACTGATCTGGGACCAGACAGAGGAATCTGTTATTGCTTGTTATGTGCTTTGCAGCGGAGCGTAGTCCTGCAGGCGAGGCATTAGAGGTACACAGCAGGAGAACACAGGGTTAAAACATGATCAAATCTCATCAAGGGGAAACATTTACAGCTTCAAAGTTTCCAGTTATTCCACAGGCTTTGTCAACCTTAAATTCCAGTGCTTCTGTCAGCCTTCTATGAATTAAAGTTAAATGAATAAATACATGAAATCATGACATTAACAAAAACATGTTGTGGGTCAATACTGGAGAGAGGGAAAGACACTGGGGCTGCAAAGACTTCCAGTTTCTGTCCTCTCAATACTCATGGTCCATCTAAAATTCATAAGAGTCACAATAAATACAGCTTAGTCTACTTGTCATCATGCACTAATGACAATATTTACACCATTTCTCAGAAAGGATTCAGACGGCGGTAAGAGGGGCACATAACTCATGCAGCAAAATTACGGGGAAATAAAATGCATTTTAAGAAAAATTGTTTATAGAGTTTCTACCAATCAATATCAAGGTTGGAAGAGGAGCTGGGACTTAAAATGATTAAAATCCTAAATGAAACATAAGATTCTGTCCCTCCATTTTATATCGAACAGGGGTCATGTTGCATTCAATTCATATGGGAATTAAACGTTTTAGTGGCTAGTTTCTAAAACCCCTGCACTGATATCAAATACATTTTGTATATGGTAAAACACAATTAAAGGATAAGGCTAATGTTTTTTTTAAATATATTGTCATGAAAAGACCTGATCCAATAACAAAAATAATGTCCTATTAAATGCACACTGTGCTGTGAACCAACTGGGAATTAATCCACCACTGAAAATAGTCCCCACTGTTTTAGTTTGTGCACAGGGACGAGCTGTTTCAGAAAAATAAAGCGCCTTTAAACGAGGAAACTATATATTTAAAATCTATGTCTTTAAAATAAGACCGGCAATTAAAGTTAAAAAATATTGAGAAAGCTGCTAACACTTAATTGGTTTTGGTCTTTTCATGATATTTGTTGATAATAAAAAAACATCAGCTTTAACATTACACCTACTGTAAAGTGAGAAATGACAGTTTTCTCAACATGTTTCATAGGAAGACCCAAGTCTAAGTGGCTGATTCCCCTTGTACTCTATTCCAGTGATTACTACATTCAGTTCATTCTTGACCGTGGGAATATAAGTATGACAAAATAATCTGAACACATGTCCCCTTATTAGCTTTAGCCAGATGTTTTAACTACAAAGTTCTCTACTTAATCCATGCGATGACAACCAAGCAAATACAAAATAAGCTGGGGAAAAAATCTAGTAAGAGGACCTTGAGTTAAATTATTTAGTTGAACCTTTTAGTTGTTGAAATGGAGATATTGGCAAACTGTTAAAAATGATAAATGAATGTGTGAGGCTCACACACCATCGATCACTTCTTAAACAGCAAGTTGGATGTTATACAAACCAAAGCAGGGTACACACACACACACACACACACACACACACACACACCACACACACACACACACACACACACACACACACACACACACACACACACACACACACACACACACACACACACACACACACACACACACACACACACACACACACACACACACACACACACACACACACACACACACCATTAAAAACAGCCAGGTCGATGCCTGTACTTGAGTAGGAATGTCCATGTAGCCACAGGTTAGCTCCTGACTCATCACTGAGATCAGCTTTTGTGTTCATCCGCATGTTTAAAGCTGAGAGAATGCCCAACACGAGTCCAGAGGATAAAAATAAAGAGAGGCATGAAGAGCCGTCAGGAAACACAGAGTCAGAATCCTCCTTTCAGTGTCTCTTGTTTCCACATCTCAAAAAGGCATGCTCGCTAATGCTACCGCTAACTAGCCGCAGGCGAGGAAACAGGATACATCAGTTTATCTAGTTGTATCTACTGAGGGCAAGCTAGGCTACATAGCTAGCACACAGGGACACATCTGCTACTCTGCTAAGAACATTTTGAAGAAAACACCAGCAAACGTTCAACCAGTGTATATTCTGCTCAACAAATGTCCTGTATCCCTCCAAGCAGCCACTGCATCAGTTCATTTCAGTGCAATGTAAAGTGTTTAGGGATAACACATGGTTGGTAAGGGTCTTGATGGATTAAAAGCAAGTTTTATGTTGCTTAAAAAGGACTTTCTCGAACCTGAAGTGTCCAATTCTGGTATCTAATTGGACACTAGATAAACACGATTAAGCACTGGTGGGGTAATAATACTGCATCCAAGCTTATGGTTGACCCAAAGTCTTACTTCTCTGTTGCTTTGGTAACCAAACTTTTCATTTCCGTCACTCACTTCCTACTTCCCTGCTCATCCCAGAGCCAAAAGGGTAAGAGTGGGAGGGTGGGAGAAGCTGGTGGAGGAGAGGGGAGTTTTAGAGGAGAACGTAGGGGGTCTCCGGGGCTAAAGGGCGATGCCTTTGACGATGGAGGCCTCCAGGGTGATGGGGAAGTCGTGCAGCGTCTCCAGGACGTCGATGTGGGAGCTGACCGTGGCCCGGTCTCTGAGCAGGGCCGAGTCCTCGTACATCCTCTGGATCACCGGGCACTCCACCAGCAGGGGGACCCACTGGGGCAGCAGGCGGTCTCTGAGGGACAGACAGTGAGAGGACATTTAAACATCTGTGGCAGGACAGCTGGATTTATTGACCCTCAGTAGAGTGTCTGTCATCTGATAACAGGACTAGCTAAGGTAAACATCTGTTCAAATAGGGTCTGTTTATTCAAGGCCTCTACCTTAATAAAAACATTGTAGGACTGTTTTACAAAGAATCTACTTTAAAGGCCGTGAAACCAATCCGTCTAGTATGTTTTCATATGCTCAAAATTGGATTTACGTTGCACATACACACATCACTTGAAGTTTAGGAAAACAAAGTTATGTAATACTAAATGTTTGTGATCATTTTTCCCATGGGTCTTTGAAATCTTTGAAAGTTTGTGATTTTGAAAAACAAACAAATTAAAGGTTGTAGTGGCAAATTTCCTAATGTGTAATATGTTACCTAATATGGTAAAACCAAATGCAGCAGTTCCATGATGATGTATTCAGTTCATGTCCCTTGCTAGACTTATGATTAACCTCAAGTGTGTCTGGGTGTCAAACACAGTGTCTTGAGCAAGTTCCTGTATTTCTTCCCTGTTCCATAACAACTTCCTGCTTTCCCTACTTCCATCTGTCTTGAACAAGTTCCTGTTTTTCCTATATTAGCAATGCACAGTTTCTGTTCCTATGGAAAGGCGTTGCTTATCTCTCTTTCCAGCCCAGCAACAGTGACAGGTAGGGATGTAACGATACCAAAAACTCACCGTACGATAATATCGCGATAAACAGTCCACGGTACTATATTTATCACGATATTGAAAAATAAAGAAAAAAAAAACGTGATTTTTCTTTTTACTTGAATTTTTTTTTCTTTATTAAATAATAAACCTGATTTGTACAGCATTTTAGAAGGATAGTAGTATTTTAAAGTGTCAACAATATAATAATCAGACCCTGCAATAGAATAAATCAAGTTTCACTATAGTTTTTCAAGTAACTCAACTCTAACTCACTCACTCAGCATTATCAAGGTTATCTTTTAGGAATATGAGCATGTCCACATTTCCAGGTAGAAGCTGGGATGTTTGGGCGTTTACAATATCCCCTGCTGTGGAAAAAACTCTCTTGCTTGGTACTGATGTTGCTGGGACAGAGAGATGTGCTTTGGCCATGGGTGACAGCAGTGGGTAAAACTGTGCATTGTCTCACCACCACTTCAAAAACAAAACAGTTTTTGCCAAGAAGGTGAGGCTTATTGACAGGGCGAGATATAAATATACTGTTGGTACTTGTCAATGGTGTGTAAATGTAGCCCTGTAAATACGATGTCCTTTTGTGTTATCTGTTGTTATATGTTCGTGTTGTAACCTACTTGCTGCCATGTTGGACAGGTCTCCCTTGAAAAAGAGATCGATGATCTCAATGGGACCACCTGGTTAAATAAAGGTTTTAAAAAAAAAGAAGAAAAAAAAAAAAAATCGCGGTAGATTTGGTCAGTCTCACGACGGTATTGAGACATTTATTTACCGCGATATCGCGATATTCGATATATCGTTACATCCCTAGTGACAGGTGATGAAGTGTTGTTAAACTGTCAAGATCCTATACACACACTTCCCTCTGTGTGCACTCTTACAGACTACTCTGTACTCTGTGAGACATGTACCTTTGAAGCTTCAAATAAAGACATATTATTATTAGCCTACTACTAGTACATCTCCAGATTATTGACGAGGTAAAATATCCGCAACAAGGTCTTGAAGGTATATTTGAAAATAGACACAAACACACAGGAGTCATTTAAAGTGCTTGAACTCATATATTTTGGAAAAGAATATCAATTGTATTTTAAATATTCTTTTTGACATTAGTGTGGTGCAGTATTTGTGCCATGACCGGTCCTTGCATTTGACCGAATGTGGCCTGAAAAGTACTTGAAAAGTCACGCAATTTACATCACAGAGGTGGACAGACTGACCTGGCTCCGAGGCAGACCAGCAGCTGGAACTTCCCGTCCTTCCCGATGTTCCTGCGGGTGGAGTTGATGGCATTGACGTAGTGACAGAGTGATTGACAGGTCCGTCCCAGGGGCTCCGCTGTCTCCTGGAGGTCTCCCATCTGGTCAGCTGACTCCATGTAGGCAATGGCTTTCTCTGCAGAGGGGGGGGGGGGGGGGGGGGGGGGGGGGGGGGGGGGCGGCTCATGTTTAGTTTTCACCTGGCTTTACCAGATAAATAAACTGTTAAATCACACAGCATGCACAACTTAAATACAATTCTCTTGGCAACATTGTCAAAAAATTAAAAAAAAGGTATGTAAAAATAAATATGTAAGGATGGAGCTTCATATGCATTATCCTAAACTGGCTTCATAAATAAAGTTGGATTAAAAAACTAAATAAGTGAAAAAGTATAATTCCTGACATTATTTCCCCATAAATCCTCTGAAAAGGGCCACAGTAAGTAGTGCATCGTATGATCAGCAGGTGGCGGTGTCCCTCCACACTCACCCACAAAGTCCCACACAAACACGGTCTTCTGGAAGAGCCGGGCGGACTTGAAGCCGTGACGGAAGAACTGTTCCAGAGCGGACACCAGGCTGCTCTCCCCACACAGCAGCACGGTCAGGCTGCCTCTCTGAGAGAAGCATACATTACATTACATTACATTACATCAGCTGTTCAGAAATAATCTCTACTTCCAAAATGGTATTTAAAATAAAGCTGGGTCTACAGCTGGGAGTTGCAAACGGCTCTCTGCAGGACACACAGTGAGAGGACGTTTGAAGTGCCAATTTTGTTGGATCTGTATTCATAAAAGGCTCATTGTTCATGTTTCTTTCTATGAAATATTGAGGTTTGAAGCTGCAGACTAGCTGGGATTTTCAATGACAGAGGAGTCCTTTCTTCCACTGCTGGTTAGCGCTAAAGCACCCAGATATTGTTCTAAACTGTATTAAAGTAAACAGGTATTATCTTGAACTGTATTGAATTGAACATGTATTATTTGGGACTGTTTAAAGTAATCCTATATATCTAAACCTTCTTACTTACACTCCATGACCCAGAGACCCTGACACACACACATACACCTCCTGTCTCCATGCAGCACACACACATAAACTCCTTAACCCAGATATCAGCAACACACACACATATGCCTCTGCTTATCAGCATGCACACACACACACACATACACTTTCCCTCACTAACACACACGTTCTTTTTTCAAGGTTCTTTCTGGGAATAATCCCAAGCACCAATATATCTGTGTACAATGTTTGATTGTTTTAAAAGAATAGTTTGTGTGAAACCTTCCCTGGGAAAGTAAAGGAGTTAACCCAGGTATAAGATAAAAAGTGATTCTGACCTTGTAGAGTTCCGATGCTCTCACGCTCTGTTCAGAAGAAAAATACTTTTTCCCAGAACTCTGATTCGCTGTATTGGGCCCGACCCAAAGTGAATCCAACCAGTAAGAACACCTAGGGGAGTGAGCAACCGACCCAAACTCCTCCCCACAGACTCTCTGATTCGCTTAGGAGTAAAATGGGACGGAAGAGCCGACACACATCTCCGCCCCAAATATGTCCATATATACTGTTGTTTCTTCATGCAAAATGCCTCCTGTTTCTGACTGGCTGGTCCCGATATCTGTATCGCACGGCAGTAGAGCGGGGAGCCCGGAGTGTTCTGTCTCAGGGCACTCTGTATTTCGTATTGTGTTTTTTACTGTATTAAAATCAGATTATTGTTATAACTTTTATGCCGGTGTTTTGAACTCCTTTTATTAAATCTGACCAGGCTCATCTAAAGGACGGCGCGGAGCAGAGGTGGGCTTTAAGTCACCACTATTGTGTTTGCTCCTACAGCGCTCACATGCTTTGTACATTTTCAGGAGCTTTTCCAAACTTAACAGCTTAAACGGTAGATGTCACAAATCTTTACGTAGTCCTGAAGGATTTATGTGTTGCAGTGTTAAAGTTCAGAGGGGACCATTGTTGATTGCCTCTGACTACTCTCACAGGGTTGCACTCCACACAGAAGGCACTTCAAATGTAGCTCGGTTTCCTCTGCTGTGGCGCTAAAGTAGGTCTGCATGTGACCGGCACTTTACTGATGTTTACATTATGAGCAGTCAGTGGACAGAAACAATGAGAATTACTCCACTCAGTTTAGTGATGTGAAGGGTTCAGAGGGAGGGCAGCAGCTGTCGAAGAATGAGTTCATTCAGTAGTGACAAGGAGATCCTCACCTCTTTCTCCGGCTTGTGGAAGTGTTTGATGATGTTGTTCACGGCCTCCCCGATGGCCTCTTGGATCTGGGCTGAAGTCGGTTCTGGAGAAAAGAAAGGAATTAATATAAAGACCTCAACATCCCAGAATTCATATTTTACTGTTAGGAGTACTGACTGTATCCTCGTCCGGACAGCGACGTGACACTGATGCGTCGGATCTGGGATGGCGAGCGCTGCAGCGGGGGTGTGTAGCAGCCTCTCCCAGAATCCTCCTCTCCGCTGGGCAGCACCGGCTCCCCGATCAGGACCCTCTCCAGGCTGCCGTCGTCCACACCCTTACCGAGCCACCGGCCACACGGGAACCTGAGGGGGAGGGAGGAAGTTGTGAGAAAATATCTAATATATAACTATTATACAACTATTAAAACAAACCATTAGAAAACTTAAACATAAGAAATGTTTGAAAGAAATCTAAATGAATAAAAAAAAGTTACAACAATTAAAATATGATAGATTATTGAATTTGTTTTAATAAAAGCAAGGATGTGCATTATTTTAAAACTTACAAAATACAAAAGCCTCAAACAGGGTTAAAGGTTTCTGGAGCTAAAAAGGGATATTTAAAAAAAAGTTTTTCGTACTGATGTATTCTCAAAATATAGTTCTGAAGAGTTTATAATGTTTGATTATTTGGCGACGACAAATCTAAATCCATTAGGAATCTAGTGTTGCTGTTAACAGGCAGACAAAGCAGCGAACCATGCATTTAAAGGAATAGTTATACTTTTTCTTCTAGATCTTTAATCCACACATTTTTAATTGTCGATGAGATGACAGGATTAAAAGCTACATTAATACTTTTTTTGTAAGACAGGAAAATAGGACTTCTGGGAGTACTTTCCCCTCAGCCTCAGCTACCAACACACACCCTGCACTCACTTGTATGTGTGTCCTGTGATCTCGTTGCGCACCATCACACAGTCCACCAGCCATTTCGCCAGAAGGCCGGCGTTGTCGTGTCCCAGCTGCACCGTGGTCATCTTCCCCAGGTTCTGACACTAAACACAGCGGAGAGGGAATCTAGTTAATGCAAAGTACTTTAAATAATGTTAAATCCTTCTTAATAAGCTTTGTCAATGTACATCTACGGCACTATCACAATAACTGTTATTACTGCTAAAGTCCTCCCATAACCAAAACAGTGTCACCTTCCGAATTAATGAGATTAAAGGGAATAGATCTCTGTTCATTCAATATAAGTGTGTTAATTGATTTAATCCTTGGCAATGAGAATGTGTTGGATTGAAACCCTAATCCTTTTCAATGAGGCTTTCCCAGAATGCACTGGGCTGACATTTCCACACTTAAGTAATTCCTAACATTAAGCTACCTTCAATGTTGTTCAATACAATATCTCTAAGTAGTTTTAAGCAGCGCTAATACGTTACGGTACATTCATTTAGATTTGAGGGGGTGAGAGAAGCTGACATAAAGGTGGTGATCTATACTTAAAACACTTTCTAACAAGAGAACAGAGCAACTATGACTAAAAGCAAATCAAAAGGGGGCCGACTGCATGACAACAGGGCAGCTGGATGAAAGCATTTCACAGAGACTGATGGAGATGATGGGGGGTGGGTGAGTGGGGGAGGGGCTGCCTCTAACCTTGAACAAGGCGGAGATGTGCGTGTGAGGCCTGAAAGCAGACTGGGGGAGACGGAGACACTTGTTAAGACACAATGGGGGGACAATCACAATGGTGGAGTGGTGATTTCAAAACCAAAACAAAGCAGCATCCATCATGCAAACAGAATGAAAATCAGAGGGGAACAACATGCAGTGAGAGGAGGCAGCAGATAGGAGCTGAACATGATCATGAGGGGAGGAGGGGGCATTAACGTTATTATGTGTTGGTCAGTTCAACTTTCTGTTAATAGACCTGTGTTCATTTGCATAATCCTAAATAATGTCAACGCATGTCAGTAGGTAGATTGTGCTATGTATGTTTTATTTATAGTCAAAGATAATTCTGATCAAATTCGAACAGATGTTGGAAACAAGGTAACGGTCTATCTATATGTATGGTTGTTGACATGTAAAGTATGTTAAGAATCTCTGTTTGACCGACACTTAAGTTCATCTGCCTGTTTCAATTAGAACTTAAGGTCCCATTGACTAAATTCTTCCTCTGGTTAAAATGTATAGATAATAACAACAACAACAATGTATTGTAAAAATGTGGCTTTAAGTTAGATGCAAAAGTTGATTTGTAAAACAAATTGTATTAGGTAGGTACACAATTAAAAAAGAATATAACATCAAGTCAGGAAAAAAAAGTGCAAAGATTTTACATAGTATTACTTTACTATCAGGCTACTTTGAGGGGAAACATTTATTAGTAAGACTTTGTATAGATTGTACTGAAAGTGAATGATGTGCTACAGAAGACCAACCTTCTACTAAACCAGAATGACGCTTTAATGAACTCACACAAGCAAAACTAGTTGTAATCCCTTAAAAGTTAGTACTGCTAGCATGCAGTGTGAAGGTGTCCCAGTGACAGAGGAGGCAGAGTGTAACTGAAACTGCACTCAGAGGACTCAGCTTCAGACTCAGGGTCACAGAACTCACATCAAAGGTCATCTCCAGGACGTTCTTGGGGATCTGCATGATGCCCGAGTCTCCCAGCTGTCCGGACACACACACCCAGGGGTTGGAGGTCGTCATGGCGTTGCTGAGCTTCTTGATGGGGATGATGACGACTCGATACGGGATCACTGCAGAACAAAAACAAGCATTAGAGAAGAGAAACATGCTGATTCCACTCATTATCTAACTGGGTCAATTTCATTATAAAATCCAGATTGAGGCCAGGAGGAAAACAGAATAATGGATCGGATAGTAGAGGGATATTAAATCATCACCTACATGTTCATTTATCGGAATAAAGGCTTAGCTGCTCTGTGAGTTGAATAATACATTGTGCTTTAAATCTTTGGTTAAAGTGTACATACATCGTCGTGGTTTATTCATACTAATAGCTCAGCCTGCCATTGATCCACAATCATCCATGTAGCAGCTGACATTAACAAAAAAGGAGGAATGGCAGGAAGAGGGGTTTCTGAGATATGAGGTTTGATATTTCAAAGGTGGGATGTGGTGTGTTATTTAGATGGCCACAGGACTCACTGATGGTGGTGAAGACGCTGGTGAAGCAGAAGTAGTCGACGGTGTTGAGGGAGAGCAGGTGGAAGAGGAACTGCTCCTTCTCCTCCTCACAGCGCAGGAAGGCGTAACGCTTGTACAGCTTCCTGTAGACACAGAACGTCAGGTTAAAAAATATCACTGTGAAATATCATCTGCTGTTTAAACTCCTGTCTTTATATTTATAGAAATTCTTCCCATGTGTTCCTGTTGAAGTACAAGGCAGCAAGAAAGACAACAATGGAAGGTCAGGAGTGATATAGCACTGATCTTTTCCACTTAAAAGAAATACAACTTTTAATTATTTAACTGGACAACAGCAGTTCATAAATAATGCTGCAACATTTTCTTTCAGATGGCTAATGCACATCTGGTCCCATATAGAGCAGCCACTCTCCCAAGAAATGGAAACAAGCCCAATCAGGAGAGGTATAATTATCAAGCTTTAATGTCCAATCTATGAAGGTCTTCACAGGTTTAAAATAATAGAAATGTAGTTTGGATTTTCATATTGGTGCGATTGGTTTAAAATAACGTATGTTTTGGGACAAGCGATGATATAAGTACAGCTGCATCTCAGCACATGGGTTTCGATTAGCAGCATCACAAATTGTGTGTGTGTGGTGTGTGTGTGTGTACTCACTTGGTTAAGGCTTGTCGGCACAGCAGCTGTTTGAGGTGTTGTGAGAGCAGCTTCTTCTCCAGGGAGAGACGGATCCAGGCTCTCGCCCGGCCCACATCTGTCTTTATCTCGGACATGCTCTGGATATGCCTGAGGACGTAGACCATGGAGGGACAGAAGAGAGATGGGTCAAGTACAGCCACAATGTATCTAATAATTGTTTGGTCTCTAAAATAAAGTGCCAGAATTCAGAATTTCCCTGCAGAGCAAGTTGTCTTTTATAACATTTTGCAATGAATCCAATGATTCAAGGTACAGATGGATACTGAATAAAAGGACTACTGTTTGTAGTTAACTAGCAGCTGATTCTGCATGCCCTTAAACTCAAGTGATCACTACAGGACAGTAACATGTACTGTACCTCATATCCTGTATGAGAGACACGCGTAGAGATGGCATCGCCATGGAACAGTCAGACTTCCTCCTCTCAGGAACATGTGACACTGCAGAAGTAAAATACAGGATATTTTTAATTTGCCTTTGTCAAAATTTGATCAAACTTTTAAATGGTTAACAGTTTTTGAGGCTAAAATGGGGCCTGCAACAGACTAGTTAAGGCTTGTTTTGGATTAGGATCTAAAGTAACGTGTTGTAGCGGAGGGTTTGATACAGCGTATTTCTGGTATATTCATTTTAAGTGAGCTGACTTCGAGGTTGGAAGAAGTTCAGAGAAGGCCTTAGGGTATGGGAACAGTTGACCTTTGTTAGTTAACTAATCCTAAAAATGTCATGAGACGATGTGTGTTACTGAATTGGGTCGCACGGTTGGAGGGACAATGGTCGTTCTGAATGATCAATGGCTGTGTGAGCTGGCTTCGAGCTCAGAGGAAATGCAAAGAGGCTACATTTAGATATAATACAGTCAAGTGTTAGTTAAGGAAAGAAGTGTATGTGCGTTCATGTGCAGATGTATATATAGTTTGTTAATTGGATAATTAATTTCCTGCAAGACTCCTAAAGACGTCATGAGATGATGACCTTTCGACATCTGGAACATGTCCAAGTTTAGGAGAACTGACAATGTGTGTGCGTTGAAGATGTTTAAGGGGAATGTGTGTGCGTTAAGGGGAATGTGTGTGCGTTCTGTCAAAGAGTCCTAGGTATGTAAAATTCTACTACTCCAAAGCATTGCTGTAGGACTGCTTGAGGGCAGAGGTAATGTTTTCCTCGTTACTATTGATTGTTGTACAACGAAATAATCATTGATCAACTATACCTGCAATACATCCCTATAAACACACACACACACACACACACACACACACACACACACACACACACACACACACACACACACACACACACACACACACACACACACACACACACACACACACACACACACACACACACACACACACACACACACACACACACACACACACACACACACACACACACACACACACACACACACACACACCACACACACACACACACACACACACACACACACACACACACACACACACACACACACACACACACACACACACACACACACACACACACACACACACACACACACACACACACACACACACACACACACACCTCCTTGTAAGGAGATGGGGCGAACCAGTTCAGGAGTGAACAACCAATTAGAAGATATGAAGGGAGAAATGTGTGTGTGTGTTTGTATTTGTGTGTGTTTGTGTACATGTGTTCTACCTGGTGACTCCGCCTGCTGCTGCTCCAGCTTCTCCTCTCGGGCATGGTAGTGCAGCATGTGGGACCACAGGGCCGACTTCCCCTGAGACGTGAGAGAACCAAAAATCACGACACACACCAAAACAGCTACTGATGAAGATTATAATCCCACACAGAGGAATAATCAGGCAATAACCTCGTAGACTTAATATCCAATATGGTCATACAGATCTGATTTAAGCAGTGTGTTACATACGTATACACACAGCACTAGTGGGTGTTTGCCTTCTTTAGCATAAATCTGAGGAGATTTGAAATGCAGACAAAGAATGGAACTTCACCTATTTCTCCCTGAGTGTGTGTGTGTGTGTGTGTGTGTGTGTGTGTGTGTGTGTGTGTGTGTGTGTGTGTGTGTGTGTGTGTGTGTGTGTGTGTGTGTGTGCTGACCTGTTTGACCTGCAGCCCGTGGCTCCAGATCCTCTCCAGCAGGTCACACAGGCTGGCGATCAGAGTGTTCTCCTCCAGCCCCGTGATGGTGGCCTCCCCGTGGCCCAGCTCCACCGCCTCTCGGCCCATCTTCTCCACCAGCATCCGCTTGGTCTGAAAAAATGCATTAAGAAGTTATAAAGTATGCCAAGTGGAATTTGAATATGCAATGTAAATGATAAATGTTTAAGACAACAGTAAAGCTAATTAGCATTGTACTTATACCAGTCGAGTTTATATGATAGCTATTTATCTGTATTAGACTGACTCTATACTGGTGTCAGAATACAAAAATGTTGCATCTTGGATGAAAATCCTTAGTCTGATATTCAGACAAATTAACAGAATAACTTCTATGAGATCTCATTTTGATGAAACCACCTTTGTGTCTCCCTGCATGCATCATTCATGAGAGATGACACCCCTCAGAGCTTTGTTTGTGGGTGTCAGAGGTCAGTGAATGACAGCACTAATGAATCGCTGCTCTCTCTGTGGGGTTTTACCTTCATGCGGCACTCCTTGAGCAGCCCCTCCACAAACTTCCAGTTGGTCTGGGCGATGACGGCGGGCGACAGGTCGGACAGTTTGGGCTGTCGGAGGTTCTTCCCCAAGCTGCGGGCCTCCTGCATGAATTTCTGGAGGTCAAAGAGAACCGCTTAGTGAGAAATCAGGATGTACTCTGATCAGAAAAATATAGAATTAAGAGAAATGCTGGAGTGGTTTTTAACACAGGTGGAGACATTACACTTGCTCCTCTTTAACACCACGTGTCAGAATAGCTTGATCCATCAGACACAGATAGAATTATCAGCTTTTAGTCAACCAGTAAAAACATTTAAAAGAGTGAAAGTAGTGAAAATGCAGCACTTCAAAAATAAAGTTAATATGAATGGAGGTTACACAGGAGAGAAGTGAGAGCCTGTTTTTTCTCAACACACATACATACAGTAAGGACAATAAGATGAGGGGTGGGGGTAAGGGGTTACAGTGTAAATTCAATGTTATGCATGCACATGGCGTTGTATTAATACATGATTTACAACATAGATGTTCTTTCATTATTATTAAATAAATAAAAGTATATATACATTTGTCTCACTTGTTTGTTTTTTTATGAAGGGGAGCGGCCAAAACGGTTTTAATACAGAAATGCCCTTATCGTATCCCATAGAAAGTTATCTGGCTTAACCAAATATAACAGGCATCTTCTTCCATACTTAAGAGGTTCAGAAAATCCTCCAGCCATCAATTTATTGAAGCATTTTGGATCTCTGACTTTCCAGTTCATTAGTTGAGAGGCATGCTAGGGCTATGAGTTTTATTCTAAATTTAGATTTGATGCCATTGGGCGTAGATCCCAGTGAGCATGTAGCTGGACTTAAAGATACATCTGTATTCAGGATCTCAGCGAGTGTGTCTACATCCCAAAAAAAGACAAGTAATTGAAACAACTACATGAAATAAAAGACAGCATAGGTGATCACAGAGAGCAGGAGGAGTCTAAGCTGAGGTGAAGCCGGCGGAACAGCTTTCTTTGTATTATAAAATGCTGTTTAAAATGATTAAACTTCATAAAGGGAATGTTTGATTGCCTCCCTCAGCTTTAAGGAATTACAGGAAAACGATTCATGCATGTAATCCAGTGCAATTGCAATTACAGTACGCCTCACTCTCTTTACACCATATCAGAGTGGGATTAAACTGCTGATGCACACAGAACATCCCATGGTTGAGGCTGCAGTTAGAGGGTCAGGTACGGGGTGGAGGGGTCTGAAACAGAAAGTCCACAACACAGGAAGCTCCTCCACATACCAGGCAGGACGCAGAGGCAGATTTTTTAGGCGGTTTGATAGGCGGAGGGGACGCTTTGTCCCACTCCCAAAACGCCATGGAGTTCTGCAGGACCAGACAGCCCTCCACCTGCTGAGGAGGAGGAGGAGTACGACCCAACCCCCGACCGACAGGCACGGCACACACGAGCAGACAGGAGAGGAAAGGAACAAAAAGAGAAGAATGGAAAAACAGAAGGCAGCATGCACGTCTTCAAAAAAGAGGAAAAAGAAAGCTAGAAACAGTTGCAGAACAAAACTAAAGAATGACACACAAAGAAATTAAAGACATGCTTGTAGAGGAGGGCATTCAGAGGAGAGGTTCTGGGACGGCTGTGAGGAGGGGTCTCTACCTCTTTCAGGTCGTTTTCCAGGCCCAGGTGCTCGGTCTGATGTCTGTGACGCTCTTTCCTTCGCTGAGCTGTCGCTGTCCTGTGAGACCACCTGCAGTTCAAACAAGGGGAAAGAAATTAGTTCTACAAATACTTTAGAGCACTTTGAAATACAGGTTAACACATTTACATAGTGTCTTCCACTGTGCCTTATAGCCTTTGCTGACCATTTACATGTACAAAAACCTACACTATAGGTAAGAGAAAACCCCCAAAAGCATATTACAATCTTAGCATAAAGACTGGAGGCAGGGGGAAAAGCCTGGATGTTTTTTCTTGGTTTTACTTTCTCTTGTGTGTCGCTGTTTTTCTTGCAAATGGATGAAAGGATAAAGAGATGGGTAGACTAATTCAATACATTCGATTAATGGAGTCATTAGACTCTTTCAAAGCACACAACCACATATGTATTTTCTTTCCACCGCTGAATTGTGCCCTTAGAAGTGTAGCTTTTAGTGTTTTTTGTAAAACAGCAAGCGAAAGTAGGTTTTCCAGTAAATTAACTAAGCATCACACATGAAGTAACCGTGTTAAAATCAACCCAGCCAGCCTGTAATGGGTTGTTAAGTGCTGTCTTCATCGTCGTTTCACGTGTGGATTTCAGTCGCAGGGTGGAAGTGGACTCACTTGTTATTGGTCGGCCCCGTGTTGAGCACGTCGGCCTGCAGTTTGGGGAAGAATCCCTGCTCGTATTTGCCCTGACCGATCTTCATGTCCAGCAGGTGAGGGTGGATGGCGGTGTGGTCGATCTTCATCAGCCGCTGCTCAACGGTCTGAGCTTTAGAGGAGACAGAATCCATTCAGACAACACTCATGTAAAACATTTTATTGACTTGCTGTTAATACCAAATGGCAGAACCAACCAAGGAGTTGGGCGGGGGGGGGGGGGGGGGGGGGGGGTGTTATTGTTGAATTTGCTGTGCATGTTCAAAAAAGAATATTGTTTTCCTTGTAAAGAGAACCCCTTGTTCTTCTGTTGAACAATACTTACACACAAATATTCCAAATGTATATTCATGTTAAAGTGTTTGTTGTAATTGTAAAATGCTTTGGCCCAATGTCACTATGGCCAATCCAATAAAGCTATTTGAATTTGAGAGAGAGTGGGAAAATGTTTCCTATTTCTCAACAACTGACAATAAAAAGAAACAGAATATTTTCAAATGTCAGATGCATTGCAGGAACGTAGCTCAATAATCAGCCAAGTAAATATTGGAGGACTGGACCTGACAACACCCACTGTGTCCTTCACCTTTTGCTATCTTCTCCTAACACGTAGACACTACATTAGCAGACGTCTGTCCACAAACTCCTTGATGTTAATCTGTCTGGGTCTTGTTGCTTTGCTAGAGGATTGAACATGTTGTGTGTGTCCTCCTCAGACAGTTCTGGAGTGAGCAGTGAGGCGAGGGCGTCGGAGCGAGTCTCCACAGGGGAATGCAGGGAGAGTTTCCTTATTGTCTGTATAATTGGGTACATGCATGCGCCATCGCGCTCAAATAAGCTCACCATTAAATTGCTCGGCTCATTAGCGTGAAACAGTCAGGGGCGCAAGCAGACGACATGTTAGCGTACGCACCAAAGGAATGCAGGAATAACTCACGAATCACTTTGATAAGAGTTACTGTATAAAAAAACTGCAAAAACTATCTTTGGTTTGTAAGTAAACCTGCAGTCTTGCTTTTTTCCATTCAGTCCCAAGTCTGACCTCCCGCCTCACACTGCACATTCAGCACCAATTAAAAGGCTTAACGAAGGGAAAGTCGAGCAGCACTAATTGATAAAATGACGGGGGGAAAAGCCTGAGCAAACATTCCTGCAGTGAGTGTGTGCTCATGCTTATGTGGGAGAGACTCTGAGTGATGGAGTGTTTGCTGTGCTGGGATGTAGGGACATGAGAAGTGTGGTTATCTGGTCACTGGGGAGGGCTAGGATGCTTCCAAACAACAAATGGGAGACAAGATGGCAAGGAAAAATGGAGGAGGAACAGAAAGATGGATGCAGAGTGATTGTGTGTTTTTAAAACTGCACGACAGCACGACACAGTACAATGTTGTCTGTTAATGGACTATCAGTATGATTTGAAGGACAGACAACATGCTGATCAATTAGCTCTTTTCCTGCTGCCCATTCAAACAATTACCATTTTCCCCGTCTGTGTGTAGGTTTCCCCAACGACTTTTGTTCCAAATGAAATCGTGAAGCACATGAAATAAACCTAATCCATCAAATTGGACCTCTTTCTGCTGAGCTTACCAGACTCCTTGAGGATGGTGCACCTCTGGTAGCTGGAGGAGCGCAGGCTGGGAGCGCGGACGTTGAAGAGGCGGGCCTTGTCGATGCGAGCGTCAAAGACACGCAGCAGCGGCTCCTTGTCCTCCCACTGGGACATGATCTTGTTGTCGATGAAGGTCGCAAACATCTGCGTCTCGATGAAGTGGGAGAGGAAGGGCAGGTAGGGCTCCGGCTGGTCGGAGAGGAACGAGGCCTGGAGAAGGGAAAAGCATGAGGGAGGAGATGCAGAAATACATGTACGGTCAAATTTCTAATATTTAGTTCAAAGGTTTTATTGTCATAAGCTACAGTGTAGAAATGGAAATGAAATTCTTCTGACCCGAGCTCCTCCAACAATGCAACATATATAATAAAAAACATAAATACAAATAAACAATAGTGCAAGAAGTAAATGTAAATAGAATATGATATGTACAAGAACAGAATATGAAATTAAATGATGTACATTAAGACAAAATTAAATACGGTTTATTGCGTTGATAACTATTTATATAAATAAGTAGATTGCAAGATGACAAACAGATGAATGTTTATCGGGGCACTCAGGTGTAAATAGTCTTAATGCCTGTGGGATGAAACTGTCCCTGAGTCTGGTGTTTTTAGTCCCGATACTGCGGTACTGCCTGCCAGACGGTGGCAGACAGAACAGCTTGATTTCCTCACCTTGTCAAAGTTGTGCATCTGCTCCCTGTTGGTGAGCCACGACTCCAGGTCCGGGGCGCTCTGGATGACGAAGGCTTCGTAGTCGGCAAACATGGTTGTGAAGCGGCTGGCGCACACCTCCCTCAGCTGGACGTTGAGCTTGGCATTCCTGAGCTCCTCCTCGTCGGCTGCTGTCCGGCCCCCCTGTCCCTCAGTCAGCTGAGCTTTGACCCCGGCCCTCAGGGCGTCCACGCGGGCCACCGTCACCCCGGTGCGCTTGGTGAGCGCCTGCAGTCTCTCCAGGGTGGCATTCCCCTGCAGTAGCTCCAGCACAGCCAGCTCCTCCCCTGCCAGGTTGCCGTTACGCCCGTCGTCCTCCAGCTGCCGGAGAGCGACCGTCTTGCGCTCCCTTCCAGGGGTGGAGGGGGTGCTGCCTGGAGCGCTGCCGGGGCGAGTCCGAGGAGGAGCTCCTGTGTTAGCGGAAATGCCATAGCTAAGCAGCACCTCACTTAGCTCCTGGATGAGCTCAGTCTTATTGGGGAAATTGGGAAAGTCCTCTGGAAGTTCGATGTAGTGGTTGTCAATGTCCACAAAACACAGGTTGGCCTGGAAAAGGGAAATATATCAATATTACAACAATATGCAATATATTACAGACTTTTTTTCGCTCCAAAAAGCTAACTTAAATGTCTATCTTTACTATCAAAGACAGGAGAGGAAATATGTCCTTTGGGTGCCAATGAGGTCGTAGGGTGAGCCCAGATACATGAGACGGGTATTATGAGGACGCATATTGAGGACAGATTGGTTTAGGAGGTATGGTGGGGCTGGGAGATGTCGAGAACAGAGAATGTAGGTCAGTGTGTGATTGATAATAGCACATTGTCGGAGATCAAGCTAAATCTGATAATGGAGTTAGCATCACACCATCATATGGGATTAAAGTAAGACCTGATGACACTCTAATCCACTCAAAAACCCCAGAAATAGGAATGCGCTTCGGTATGTATGCAAGGAAACACACAGAAAATAGAAGTGATAGAAAACCTCCAGATTGACCTGAGGATGACAGACCCCAAAAAAAGATTGTCAAAGCTATATTTTCAGAGCATTGAACCACTATCCATAACTGCTGAAAAACAAACCATAAAACACTTTTTACATTAAAGATCTTAAATCTGGGTCTGGTTAGAATCAGATACTTTTACTTTTGTTCAATAAAAAAAACGAACACTAAACAAACTTGAGGAAAATCTGCATATCACAAACCTTTTCATCCACAGTGAAGTTGCCCTAGTTTAAATCTAAAGCCCACTAGAAATACGTGAGTATTCACAAGGATAGACAAATGAGAACACATGATAGATGATAACTGTGCCACATAATATATTCTGCAATAAAAACATAAAAACGGTATAATTTAATGTTAAAAAGCCTGGTTTGAACCGGGTTCAGAAAGGCAAATCTTGTCTGACATTAATTCCCCAATTATATCCACAGTCTCTCTCATCGCGTCCTCTCTGCTTTGCTCCAAGCCATTCTTTCATCACCAGCCCATTTCTGGGTCACAGCCACTTCAAAGGAGCATTTGGAAACACAGAGAGATACAGCAGTGTAAGGGGGACCCCCTATTCGGGAGGCGGGGGACTGACGAGCTTGTGGATGTACCGCTGCAGCATCCATGCCCTGGCTGGCATAATTAGCATCCACACAGACTGTTCCGGATTAACGAGGGCCGGGAGTCAGGGGATGTGAGCAAAGCCGGAAGCCTGGATGTTACGCTTTGTTGGGGCCTTATCTCGCTTTAACACATGAACACACACTCACATTAACTGTAACCCTGAATCGGGTTAAATACTGGTTTAAATCCGGAGCCCATTAAACTCCTCTCTGTCTGACAAATGGTGGGGTTGAAATAAAAAGGCAAGAAGAATGCCAAGACTGAAATCCACCTCAAAGTCACTTAGCCTTGAGGTTCAACTTTAGACAAACAAAAGGTAGATCCCTGTCCTATTGTGTGTGTTTGTGTGTGTTTGTGGAGGTTGTTTAGAACAGAGAGGGTTTTTTCTTTTGCCATTTCCTGTCTCTCTGAACCGGAGACTGGTAGTCTGCCTGGTTGGGTGTGTGTGTGTGTGTGTGTGTGTGTGTGTGTGTGTGTGTGTGTGTGTGTGTGTGTGTGTGTGTGTGTGTTGGCCTTGTATTGTCAGCAATAATGAGCACAGATTGCAAACTGCTGCAGCTAGTGCATGCACACACTTACATCACTTGTTTACTATACTTGTGGGAGCCTTCTATTGTTTATTTAGCGGTTGCAAAAGAAGTTTGGTTGTGTAAGAGTCCAACAAAGTAACCCAACATCTCACTTTGATTTAGTTACTTTAGTAAATAATTTCCCGATGAGTTTATAGTATCAGTAGCTAGTTTCAAGTCTTCTTTTTTCCAGCATGGTGTTCATTTTGTATATAATGGGTCCAATTAGAGATAAATAGAGGACAAAGGGGGTTTAGGAGGTGGCTACCTTATGATTGACAGGTTGCTACTGGTGCATGGCTCACAGCAATGTTCAGTGTTTGTTTGGAAGACACTTATTAGTTGGCTATCTATTTTCTTTACGGTAAATACATTTTGAGCATGTTTTAAACTAGCTGAAATTAGCATCCCAATCAAGATGCCTTTATCAAACCAGAATAGCAATAGCCTTAGCTGCATATATCCACCTACCCAAGCTATATTTTTGAATTCTGGTTCCAAAAAAATAACACAGCAAAGCGAAAAAGCGACATTTAGGGCTTTATAATGTGGTTGGGCTGTGGCACAGTGGGTTAGTGCGTTGGTGTTGGGATCAAGGGAGCACAGGTTCAAACCCCACTGCAGTCAGCATGTCGTTGTGTCCCTGGGCAAGACACTTCACCCCAAATTGCTCCTGTGTGGATTGTCCACAGTATTGAGTATGTAAGTCGCTTCGGATAAAAGCGTCTAACAAGTAACATGTAATGTAATGTAATAATGGTAGTCTACAACAGATCACATGCATTCCACCTTGAGTTCTATTGTAGTGAAATTGCTTTCCACACTTGCAGTTGTTATTACAAAGCCTGAAGGTAGAGTAACAATCCACAGTTCGTCTATACCTCCTGAGGAAGCTCCAGTGTGGAGCGGTCTGTGCCCTCTTTGGACTGCAGGCCCATCAGGTAGGGAACAGGAGCATCCAGGAAGTGGAGGAGAGAGGCCGGCAGGATGGGAACATAGACGTGCTGCCACTGGAAGGGAAACAGCAGGGTGGTGATGCCCTCTGCCACCGTCATCAACCGCTGGTAGTCTGAGAGGAGGAAGAAAGCAAGGTGATTAGGGTTGGGAACCGAAACTCAGTTCCAGATGAGAACCGATAAGAAAATGCCGGGTACCGGGTACCCATACAAAATACACAATTTCGGTTCTGCTTAACGGTTCCTAAATGCGGTAGACCCTGTATTCCACCGGGTCCGTCTGCGCCGCGGTGACCCGGTGGAATACATAGCGGACTGGCCATCTGTGTGTTCTGGAGAATCACAGAACGGCCGGTCGTCAGCGGGTCGTCAGCGGGCCGTCACGCTGACGGCCGGCACCGCCCTTAATTTTTTTTAATGGCATCATGTAAGTTGCGCTGAGTTGACAGGCGACAGAGGTCCACAGTTGCCCCGCAGCGAGGCTCCCCCGCCCTCCCGTAGACAGTTCACGAGCTCAGTCACTTCATAACACCAAAGATGGGTCGTGGTAAACACTCTAAAGTGAGGCTCCACTACACTAAAAAAGAAAAAGACAAGGCACAGTGTAAAGCCTGTTAATAGCTTCCCAAAGGCATAGCTGAGTTAAAATAAAGCACAGCTATTGTGCAATACATTTGTATTGAATGTATATTTTTTTATTTGTAAAAATGTCAGTTAAAGCTTAAAAGAATAAAGATATTTTTGTTATCTAAACGTTTGACCTCTTTCTTTTACAACTTTGGAATCGAAACGGGGAATCGATAAGAACCGGAATCGATAAATTTCAAACGATACCCATCCCTAAAGGTGATATGAGAGAATTCATCAATGATGGGATTTCAGCAGAAATGTGTTTTGCAGTTACACTAGAACCACATAAAACAGATAAAAGAAGCAATGGCTTATATTCAGATGGTTACACGCATATGTGAAATTGCATATGGAAGTAAGCGTGTTATGTGCTTTCAATAAACTCTTTATTGCACGGTACAGACTCTCAAACAGAGAAGCAGGAGTGGGGGAGAAAAGGTAAAAGGTTTATGGAACACACATATATAGACATTGAGATTATTGATGTGCAAGAGAGGCTTTACTCAAGTGATTTAAATTGAATCTGAGAGTGAGTTAGGGTTAAACACAAAAGGAATTACATTCTGTAATATTCTTTTCAATCACGTTTCTGTGTGTGTGTGTGTGTGTGTGTGTGTGTGTGTGTGTGTGTGTGTGTGTGTGTGTGTGTGTGTGTGTGGCCTCTGTTCTCTAAAACAGATTAAGGCCAGTGGTTGCAGGCTGGCTTCTGTATTGAATCCAACAGCAGTTTCATCAGATGTTATTGTCATGGCCAGAGTGAAAAGCCTGCACGACCTCAAGGAAAGATACAATAATAATAAACCAGGATAGAGTTAAACCCATCCCCCACCCACCTATCCTTTCGATTGGTCTAGTTCAGTCTGAATGTGCACATATGGAATCTGTGCACTTTCATTGAAAATACATTAAGCTCACCAGTGATTTATATTCAACAGGAGAAATAGAAAGAAGACATGCCAGTCCTGCTCCTGCTGTAAGTCTGTCTTTACTTTCTCCAAGTCTGAACAGGTTCAAAGTACACACACCTCTGTGGGAAACGCAGCATTGGAGTCTGACTCACTCCTGTTTCTTTTTCATTTCACATCAAATCCTACCTGTTCCCCCACAAGCTCACATCACCACCATAAGTGTATCCTCAGCTGGCTTCATTTTCACATCGCTGTTATACTGTAACAAACAGAAATGCCTCTAAAAGAGCTTCTCGGAGGAGGTATCCTTTCACACCTCATACATTTGACCTCGCCTCATACTGAAATGAATCGAAGCCCACACAGCAAGACCTGATAAGGACAGAATTTAACAGTGACTGATTTCATGTTCTCCACTTGCTAGTTAAACTAAAGCATGCATTTTGTTGTCGTTTGAAATATCTACGGGTGTTTCTTTCTAAATTCCATTTCTGACGATGCCAAGAAACTCCCTTTGAAATGTTACAAGTACAAGAGTCTGTGAAAGGTGAGCAAGCATGTCATTATCTTTAAAGGAATACAGATCTGACATGGGGAAGCATAGTGCTGCAGAAAGCCCCAGCAGAGACGCACAAGGCTGCTGGAAAACAGGACAGGACATGTCGAGTCATTGTGAAACTGTAATCAGGGCCTGATAAACCAACGCACACGGTGCCACAAGGTACTCTAGGAAGCAAGCTGTGGGTGGTAACATCTGACAGTAGGTGTTCTTCAAATGCAGAGATGGTAAACATAAGTTTTGCTGCACTCTGGAAAATGCTGTGCTTTAAGAAAAGAGTCAGATGTTTTTGAATGAAGACAAGAAAGAAATTGAAATGAAAAGAGGTCAAGGGAAGCATCTTATTATATTACCAATCAAAGAAACTAGAAATGACTGATATTTTACTGAGTGGAAACTCGGGTGAAGCCACAATATCAGAAGACTACATTGTGGAAATGTTTCATGTAGTAAGCCTTAAATGTGACGTAATATTGAAGTTAACAGAGGAAGCCGTTATATGTTGCTATAAAAGCCAACTACACATACAGTATATGACAATTATTTAGTACATTTCTTCACAAAACTACCACTTTAAAAACAGCAGAGCTCTTCCATGGGTATATCTAAATCAGAATACTTCATTTATCCAGAGGAAAATTATGTTTTCGGACAGTTGCTGGATTTAAAATAAAAAAATACAAAGATAAAATATAAAAAAATATTAATATAAATATGAGATATTAAAGTAAAAATGTAATAAAATAGAATAAAATATTTAATAGAATTTAAGAATCAATGTAAAAATGTCTAGATTGCATTGCAAATGCAATAAAAACTGATATACTACACGTCTTTCATTTCCCAGTAATGACTCATATTTGTGATTTACTTCTTTTTTGGTGTCTGTCTACATTAGTATTTATTCTCTAAATCCCTCTTTAAAAAAAGAAATCATATCTTATTTACACCCTCATTTCTCTAACTGGTTCATCTATGAACCATTATACACCAAAGGAAATTCCCGGTTGGCAAAACAACGGATTCTTATCACTCCTCTCTACACTGATTACCATATAAAGACATTCCTGCAGGCCCCCCCCCCCACCCCCCACTGTGCACCGTGATAGGCGGAGACACTCGCCTGTCACTTTCCATCCCTAGCCTCCATCCCTCATGGTGTCATTTGTTGTTGATTGATAATGAGGAGCGTGGGAACATATGGCGGAGCAGCATCTCATTATGCGGGGACCTTCCTCTCTCTCTCCCCTGAAGTGAACCCCTCCATCACCTGCCTCCATCCTAATGACGATCTGTGCAGGTATTCTTCACCTCAGTACGGAGAAACAAGGGCTCATTAGGAAAGACGTGTCGCACAGTCAGAGCACCCGCTGAATGGCAACGGGGATTCCTGATAAAAAAATGATAAACACTTGAATCAAAAAGGCATGAATGCAGTCTGGTTTTAATCAATTCCCTCCAGGGGTGACTGCCTTTGACGCCGACAGTGATGAATAAAACACTGAGACCCAATTTCCATCAAGTGGCGATGGAGAGGAGCAGCAGGCGTGGATGTTTTCTTGGCCAATTGAGACGGCTTCAGTTAACATTTCTAACACTACTCCGCCTCAGATATCTCTGAATTAAGAAGATGCACAGTCCTAATTCATGACATGTTTGACCGGTTTTTCTTTACATTGTGTCCTCTAGAATATGCGTTCATCGCCGTTGCTGATTTTTAAAAGTTAAAAAAGTACAGATATGCATCATAACTCCAGCTCTGTACGCAATCATCTTTCTGCTTAACTCTAACAATGAAAGCAAATAGAAATCACACATCTCTATCAAACAACATATAGCTGCCCCTTTGTCACGTTGCATGTTTACTTGCAGTACAGTGCAGAGCTATACAGTCGACAAATCAGATTACAATGTCTAATGCTTAACCCATTGTATCATTACAAGCTGTATGTACAGACACACAAGGGCCCAGGGCTCGATTAGGTAGAGGAGACGGAAAACATGCATAGTAAGTAGAAGAAAGAGAAAATGGTTTGAGAGCTTTGAGTTAATCCTCTCAGATGCGAAAAAGTCTAACCTGCAATTATTAATAAGATGATAAGGGATTTAAAAACTCAGGTTATGAAGGGGTCAAACCAATACCTGCATTAGAGCATCGGCAACTACCACAATATCAATATTGACTGAACACAGATTTAAAAAAATGGGTCAAATCTTGGCTTTTCATGCAGCAGTCATTTCACTCGCTCTGCACCACAGTAGTTACATGACGCATCCGGCTCAGAAGATAATAAACAGAAAGTGTTACAGAGTGTGCCCCCGCCTGGATGAGTGAAACTGAGAAAGAGTAGGACGGAGGAATGTAGAACTAAAGGTGATCTCAGGTCAGGGAGCAGTGCAAAGTAGCTGCTCTTAGTGTGAGATCCTACAGCAGTGCCTCACTGTGAATAATGGATGAGGGGAACCCTAGAAGGAGGAAAATCTGATCACAGTGCATCTCAGATACCCTCATGTGTATTTTAAGATAGTTTGAGATGCATTTCTCAATTTGACTTCGCCTCCAAGCAATCAAGTTTAACTAAACAATCTTTAGGAGTTGTTGCTGCCTCAGCCTGCCTCTACATTTCAGCAAAACCTATACACTGAGAATTCAAAATAGTCAACGACCCCTACTCGCATATTGAATGCACTGCAAATTGTGCAAAAGGAATGACTTACGAAAACTAAAACAACATATTCTCTTATATAGTCTTCATCATAAGGTTGTGTACTAACTGTGTTTCTAGCAGATGCTTTTGGGTCTTAAAGTTAGTGGTCTAAAAAACATATATAACACACTACAGGACAGCTAAGTAGGGTTCCCTTTAAGAGCAAGTAAATAGAAATGAAGATTCAATATTCAGTGTCATTGCTATTTTTGAAATAGCATACCGCAAACATACAAGCGTGTGTACAGATAAGTTTGACAATGCTGAGGACAAGTATCATTTCCTATGAACCTGACAGCGTCCTTACCGTGTGAGTAGAGCAGGATCTGCATCTCCAGCAGCGTGCAGGTGAACACCTGGACCAGGTTCTCTACTCCCAGCAGACTGAAGGCCTCGGCCAGAGGGAAGTCTGCCAGCTGCAGCTCCCCGAGCCCCGGCCTCTGACACACGATGGGCTCGTACACGCCGTGGAACTTGAGCGAGCGTCCCGGGGCGGGCAGCGGCACCTCGTACAGGATGTTGTGGACGTAGCTCTCCAGCGGCAGCGGGGGGGCAGTGGCGGCCGTGACGGCCCTGTGCATCTGGGACAGGAAGCGGCGGCAGGCGTGCATGAAGGGCATGGGCGTGATCAGACACAGGGCCTTGGAGACGTACAGGGTGTCCCGCGATGAGTCGTAGCTCCCCGCCCTGCGAGACGATGAAGACGTGGGGGAGTCGGCCTCGTCCAAACTGCTGGCCAGGGAGTCCATGCTGGAGGAGGAGGAGGAGGAGGAGGAAGGGGTGTTGGCGGAGGTGCTCTCTGCATTGTGCATTTGGGTGAGGGTCTGCATGGCGGAGCAGATCTGTGGGCTGGTCACCTCCTCGTAGAAGGTGTGGACGAAGCCGTAGGTCCGAGAGCCGTCCTCCCTCGTGATGATGAAGGAGTGGAACTGAGGCGTCCGCTGGTCCGCCTGCGTCCTGAACGAGAGGCCTTTAGGCATACACAGCTGCAGGGAGAGGGGGCACAAATGAATCACCACTTCCATAGAAACTTGTTTGGTAAAAATCCTATCCTAAACAATCGTAAATATTAGTGTTTAATTTTCAGTGATACTGTGACAAAAAGCAAAATTCCCGCTTATACCATGAATCATATCGCAATTGCAATGCCAGTCAATACATGTTTATTGTTTTTTCTAAATCATGTGGCCCTAATTATAATTCCTAAACCATCATTTCAAAGTACAAATGATAATGTGTGTTATGCGTTCACAGAAACACTCCAAGTCCACATACATTTTGGTTATAAAAAACACAGTCAGCACATCCTGCAATAAATCTGAATTATTAGCCCGATTATGTTTATTTGGCTGCTGAGAGCCAGCCAGGAGCTGACTGCACACGGAGCCAGCACACACATGTAAATGTGTTCATGCTGACTGCTCTGCCACCACATACATATTTATGAGCATTCACAAACATTTATATTCATACGCACCATTACTGATGTAAACATTTGAAACATTCCACCCAGTTCTTCCTCATTTATGAACATTCTGTCTTTACAGGCAGCAAATGAAACAAACACACACACAGGCCGGGTGATGTGATTGGATTATGCATGAGTCATGTGTCTCGCTGATCAGTACTGACAGATCCTCTCGCCCCCATTCACAGTCTGTGTCGAACATAAGTCTTTAAAACAACCGCGTTTTTTTGTTGTGTTTGTGGAAAACAATAACATTGTATATGGTTCCCTTCTGAGCCCTGCCGAGCTGAGGGAGGTTAACAGAGCGGTGAGAAACATGCTCTGAATCTCTAACAACGTGGCGAAAGGAATTTAGCTTTTTTATAATGCATCGACTCGCCGCCTAATCAGGGGCACGTTCAGAATCGCTCGGCAACATCAGTGAGAAGAAACAACCAGGCTTCAGGAGAAACAAATATAAATCTGACCTCCATCACAAAATGACTGTTTATGTTGCTTGCATGAAAAAGGATAAGCACCATAGGAGCAGAAGACAGTGAGAAAGGTTGATGTATCTGTTGGTAGAGGTTAACTGGAGCTCTCCAGGAGGACATTTGGCCCAACTGAACAGGGGGGGGAAGCAAAAGAAGATGATCCTGTGAAGTGATTGTGTTTTTATATCTGATCCATCACTGTGCTGTGGGGGGAGATGGGAAGTGTGTGTGTTTGTGGGGATGCTAGGTAGGCTTCCTAAAGTCTTAGTATTCAAGGCAAAAGATTGTAATTAGTATAAATGATTATGAAGCAGCCAGCAGTGTTTACAATCAGTCTTCATTAATTATTCTTCAGGTAGAGACGTGACCCAATTAGGGCTGCATAGAACCACACACACACACACACACACACACACACACACACACACACACACACACACACACACACACACACACACACACACACACACACACACACACACACACACACACACACACACACACACACACACACACACACACACACACACACACACACACACACACACACACACACACACACACACACACACACACACACACACACACACACACACACACACACACACACACACACACACACACACACACACACACACACACACACACACACACACTGTTTTATCTAATCAGAGGAATTGTTGGAATCTGCTACAGAGGCAAAAAAACAAGTGTGAATGGAAGGCCTTGAAAATGGTTCACAGACAAAAAATGACTTAAAAAACAACCCCAAGAACATTTGTGTCTTTGTGTGTGGCTGTGGGTGTTAGGGTTTGAAAGCAATCATCACAGCATCTTTACCTCCCATCCTCCTCCATCTCTCACCTCACAGAAGGAGAAGGAGGAGGAGATGGGATCTAGAGAGGAGAGGATGATGGGATGAGAGGAATAAGAGGGGGAAATGAGGGGCTGTGTTGGTCACAAGACATGGAAAGAGAGAAGGATGCAGAATGTCTCTCAGCCTCCATCCTCAACAGGTCGCAATCATCCCGGTGTCGGGTTTCGGCCCCGCAGTGCTGCATAATGGGCCCTCAACCATGGCAACGAAAGGCGAGAACCCAGGCTGAATTATTCAGCGATGCTGACGCCAGGGCCGGTGGAAAAATATGCGGTGACCACGAGAGAGAGGGAAACACAAAGCCCCTGCTTTGGTTTTTCCTTGACAAGGTCACCCACTGTACTGACAGTTTAGCACCTGCAGCAGGGCGCCATCAACGGTCACACTTTTCAAAAATGAATTCAAGGACTTCTCAAGGTCTGGATTTGTGAGAAATTGCTGACATTTATGTATTCGTATGTATTTTTGTAACCATGTACCTAAATCAAAACTACATTACATATGGAATAATGACATTTAAACCCTGTCCAAACCTCACATCCACTGAGTCGAAATATAAACAGCTGCAATGTCCTTTGTTTCCCCAAAAAAAGGGTACGATCCACCTACCATGTTGACAGCATCCTGATCGAAGGGGTTCCACTCCAGGTTCTCCGGGTAGCGCGCCAACACTTTGGACTTGAAGGTTCTCTTCAGAGGACTCTGCTCAAAGTTCTCACCTGGACAAGAGAAGATCGAGACAAAGACAATGATGTGGCAGAAACACAAAAGGTCAGCATTATATCTACCAGTAGGTATATCTAGATCACCAGCCTCCGATGTACAGTAAGACAATATTTAATATATTCATAGGAAGCTTTAAATATCTATTTGTCAAACTTCTCCATGTTAACTAGGGCTGCTCAATTAATCGTATTTTAATCGCAATTACGATTATGGCTTGCAACGATTACGAAAACAACGTAATTGAAATAAAACGATTTTTTTATTATTATTTTTTTTGTTTGGTTTTTCAGTTGAGTTATACTTAAAGTTCAGGGTAATCAACTGTTAAAAACATACTGTTCACATTTTTCTTCTCCAATAAATTGATGTTTTCAAAGTAAATGGATAATCGTTTTTAATAATCGTGATATCAATTATTGACCCAAATAATCGAGATTATGATTTTTGCCATAATCGAGCAGCCCTAGTGTTAACCCAGTTTCTATGAATGTTGACATTGTGACTATTTGATGTGTAATGTTGCGGTTTCTAATTGAATGTTTCTGGTGGGTTCAGAGAAAGGGGAGCATGAGCTCATGTTCAGTTTATGTCACTGACAGCCTCTGACTGCATGCCTGAGATTCCTCTCTGTCAGCAGCTGGACTGCTCTACAATCATATTTGTTCCAAAAGTTTTGTTTCCTAATGCCAATACAACAGGGCGTATAAACATAATATTTTATCTATGTCTACTTTTCTGAGCTTTCCAATCGCAATTATAGACATCAAACCAGGAATGTTATGTGTAACAGGTGTTAATGTTGCGCCCATATCTATAAGCACATATAATACATATATATTGATAAGGACAGCAATCTTTATTGTTCCTTTCCACCTTGACAAAAGCATGGCACACCAATTCCGTTTATTTTTTTCTTACCTTTCACAATAAAGCATATCATAGTATTTTACATTTTTCTATGTGTTAAATACTCAACGTTCATATTTGGTTCTGTATTGCCTAGTCGTGTATATCGGAGCTTCCTAGTCTTCATTAGATATAAATACACTGCATAGTATACAGAGAAAGACAGTTGCCCGAGTACAGAGAGACAAACTGTGTCTAATGCAAGAAAGCCAAACAGCTGTTCACCAGAACTGCTTACATTATCTCATATCCATCATAAATGTATTCTAGTATGAATGGCTCTATCACAGTCCTTCTTTCCTCCAATGCCTTCAGTTTATACACCACAGTCGCACTTTTGGTCCTTTAGAGTGAGAATAGAAACGTAATGTGCCGATGGGCATATTTTAAAGTCCTCCTAAACCGCAGCATCAGCAAAATGCTTTATAAGAAAAATGGAAACACAAGGGGAAGCACACACACACGCACAACTGGTGAGGGAATTGAGGTTTATATAATGTTATTGTATCGTGGCAGTAAGAACATCACTAGTTCTGGAAAAAGAAGCAAAAAAAAAAAAAGGTTAATTTAAAGTCTTTTATATTGGATTTCCATTTTAAATCATTTCTACCTTTCAATGTACAGCACTCACCTTTCTCATTTGGTACTTATTTTAGGGAACATTTATATTTCTGGAGGTGCGCCATTATAATAATTTACAGAATTATCATAATATGACGAGCATATCATGTTTTTTTAATCTATTATTGATCCCCTTTGTGTAAGCTTCATGCAGATTTGGAAAAGTAGCGCAACGACAAAATGCTTGACCAAGAAACATGTGATACATTGCGCGTTTAGATATGCTAAGATTATAAACTACTGACTGAGGCTGCAAATTACTCTGAAATACAGTTTAGAAGTTTCAAAGTATTTAAACTCTTACCTAGTTACTGCTGACCTTTAAGACACGCAACCAATCATATCACAGCTATGCTAAGTGGGGCAAGCTAACAGGGGACGTAACCATAGAAAAGAAACTTAGCTAGTACTGATCTCTGGCTAAATGCAAAGCTCTGTGCCCAACCTCACGGTGAGCAAATCGCATATCATGTGAATGCAGCATAACATTAACACATTCAATATGATTCATTAGGTATCCATGGCGGAAATGATCTTTTTCGCTAGTCTCTCTGACCATCAACTATCGACCATAAGCTAGGGGAAAGCAATTCCGATTCAATTCAACAATGTATTCCTCCCCAGTGGGACAATTAAAAAGATCATAAAGACTCTCGCTCAGGGGAACTGCAACAGAGTAAAAAATGAAACTTTTTTGCTGATGAAGTGCTGATGGGGCTCCGATACTGGGGTCAGATCTGCAGCTCTGTAATGACTGTGGGATAATAAATCTCACCGATAACCCACGCACCATTTCATTTCCTTTCAGTGACCGGCTCTCCGTCCCGATACAAGGTGGAGAGAGACCTACATTGATTTTAGATAAGTGAATGGGCACTGAGTCACAGCTCCAGTGTATGGACTGTAGATTATTTGGGCTTTTTTTGTTGTTGATTCAAATGAGGTCAGAAGGTTGCTGGAGACGATAAAGGAGGAGCGGTTAACAGATTGTTTGGAGCGTTTATTTATTGATCATTGCAGCGTGACCAATCACCAGATCAATATGGGTTTTGTGTGAGGATACAGCTAACACAATGACTCACTACAATTACAGGAAATTCTCAAATAGTAGTCAGTGTCTTGAGCTCACCTGAGCAGACCTATAATGGACAACGGATTATGTTTTTATACATTATTTGTTGTGTTTTTAAGTACATATGATTACATTCTAGAAAGACTTAATATTCCTTTGATGTGTTGATTAATTCAGCACTTTCCATTCAGCGCATCAGTTAAACTTCATATACTTAAGTTTCACATTTACCATGGATTATTCCACTTCATTGTTCTTTCTATAAAATGTTTGAAAAAAACAAAACATGCAAGTTATTTCCCCACGGCCACGTTTAAGAACAAATGCATGGGAGACAAATAAGAATAAATCCTGCTTAGGCCTGAAGTATTTTCACTAAACTTCTCTGTGTGTACCCTTGAGGCCTTCATGTGTGGGGAAGGAGGAGAGAGAGGGTGAAAGGGTGAGAAGCAATGCCAGATGAATAGTGAAAAGGGTGGTTGACATTTAAGAAAGCTCCGAGAACAAAACAAAACAAATCATGCTTCAGAGTCTCGGGTGGACTGTCTGCCACGAACAGATTCCCTCATCCTATATACTCATCCTGCAGTACGTGAAGAATGAGATGACATTTACAACACCTGATAGGATATGAATTTTTCCATGCATGTACAAAAAACAAATCAGTATTTGACTAGTTTGCCGTTTGTCCCAGGAGGTCTTAGTATTACTTAAGGTCCCTGGAGGTCTTAACCACGACAAACAGAAGGTGATAGGAAACATATTGAGAGGCTTTCTTTGTTTAAAGCCCTCCATTCTCTACTTTGAGTGAATCTCCAAACTCCAGAATGCAAACAAGTGCATATACAAATAATAACATGAAGGCAGACAAACTGGACGACTACTTTCCTCAGGGTTTAAATGAGGAGAGGGAAGAAGACAGGAGGGACTGATTTGGATAACAAGCTCAGAAAAAGTTGACCCAAATAATGTGCAATGAAGACAGGAAATGAGAAAGAGGATGGGTGTAGTCCAGGTGGAGTGATACACCACGATCTACATTCCATAGAGCTGATGTCAGCCTTACTCAAATATCAACTGCAGTGATTTCTCTTAAGGAAAATAAACAGGATATTTATTCAAAGCCTTGATAGCAGTTTCACTTTATCCACTTCTAAAAGTTTAAGACTAGAAAATATAAATAAAGTCAGGTTTAAAAGGTTGTATGTTAGGCACCATCATCTTTAGTAGAGCAAATAGTTAAATTAACACAAGCATTTCTGCATTTGATTTTTAAACTATGTGAAAACACTTGATCAAGTATATGTTCTCCTTGACTCCATGTCAAAAGCTGCTTGTTGTTTATTGTCGTTTCTTTTTATAGAGAGGCCAATCTTATATTGCTATATGGTTCCGGTACCGACATAATTCAATCCCCAGGCATTTGTTATTGGCCACATACCAACCACTATAAATATGTAATGGTGCACAATGTCCTGCTATTTGTTTTGGGTCGGCTACAAGAAACTAGTTAGCTACGTTAGCGTCTTTAGTATGGATGTCAAGTGGCTGCTCCAGTCCTAAAACCTCATTGGTCGGGGATAATCTGACTCTACGGGCCTTAACCAATCGCTGAATTGTTTTAAAGTAATTTTTTAAAGCAATAATGCCACACCTTTAACAGTTTTAGAGCAAGCCTGTCGTTCCATCCCAGTTGTTCAGCTCTTACCGGACAGTGAGACTCCCTCGCAGTGCTCTCAGTAGGTATTCATAATTTAACCATGTCCGTATATTTATTTATTTATGCTGATTTTCCTCTAGTCTGGGTTATTCATACCCTGCACAGTAACCATAGCAACCTCTCACCCCTTCTACTCTCCAACGTCGGACACAAAGCAAACCTGCGGTCTTCACTTTTATAACCTGCTGAAAAACACATCTGGTTTACCTTCAGGCCTAACAACAAACACTGTTTTTGAAAAAGGGGGATTTAAGTCCTTTTATTTTTAATATTTACCTTACAGTAAGAAGGCATTATGTATTAGTCACTTTGAAAGTCTTCATTTACTTTTGAACTCACATTTAGAAATTGACTTATTACTAGTAACAGTAATTGGTGGTGGCAGTAGCTCAGTAACCAGAGAGGATACATTCAAGTTGATATAGATTGATATGTATATTTTTAAAAATGCGATTAAACACCAACATCCTAATCACTAGCTGAGGTCAAGAAGTGTGAATGAGTTGCATATTACTAAACAGCATTAGTAACCAATGCCTTAGAAGTTGGGGCTGCTTAATGAGAATGGACACGGACAAGAATGGACTTATGGCGCGTTTCCACTGCAGCGGGGTAGCCCCGTTTAAGCGTCCTCGCTCTGGCCTCGGGCTGCCTCGCTGGCCGGCCGAGGCCGTGGCGCATTTCCATTACAGTTTAGGACCTGGGCTAGCAACGCAGTGTAGGCGGGGCGATCGGCTTCACATTTCGAGTTGTTCCGTCGAGCTCCCGCTGGATTTGATCATCCCCAATGAGATGTAGGAACGTCGTCACCTCCTCGGTCGACCACGGTGTGCTTTTCTTAGAAGTAGCCATTTTTGCAGCTCCTCCGTTTACAAAATGCTGTGTATAAAAATGCTGCAAGCTTGCTTCTAGATATATATGCGACGCTAGGGATGAACTTGCGTGCAATCTTGTGACGATTCTCTCTGACCAATCAGCAGTCGAGAGTGTTGACGTCACTAGTTCAGCCCTGGCCCTGGTCTGAGGGAACCACGATTTTATGAGGCCGGAAAAAGAGGGAAAAAGTACCCGCTAGCCGGTACTAGGCTATATGGAAAGGCCACCAAAAACCGGCCTGGCCGCTTGAGGCCGCTTGAGGACGGTTAAGGACGCTTAAACGGGGCTACCCGCTGCAGTGGAAACGCGCCATTAGTGTCATCTGAGAGAAAAAGAGGTTTTGAAATGTGAAGAACCTGATAAACAGAGTCTGTGTCTGAAGAGATTTTAATCTATACTGGGACAAGGCTGATGTCATATAGGTCACATGTCTTAGGAGGGAGCAGCTGAGTGAGCGACAGCAGCACACAGGCATGCAGACAGTGTGAGGTGTAATGCTCTGTTATGGAGATGTGGAACAGTTGACGAGTTACCTGTGGCTGCAGCGTCTGGATCCCTGCCCTGGCGGTCTGCTTCGAGCCATTGGTACAAAGCTATGGGCGAGCCACGTGCAGAAAAACATGGAGCAAAAAACAAAAACAAAGAGCGCAATGTCAAAACAAATGCACACAGAAAAGCAGATTCATAAATGCATGACAATGAGTAGAGCATGAACATGACACATTCATGATAACACAACAGAGCATGGGATGGCATTTAAGACACAACACACATGGACTCAAGAGGAAGTATTAGCAATCTAAAAGGCAAACGCATATGTCACAAAATGCTGACACAAGAGTATGTTATATACAAATTATAGGTTATCATCAGTTTTCTTCTTTTTTCTATAACTATTCAATTTTTAAGGACATAAAACATTTCAGAGGTGCAATGAAAAGGTAAAGGAGCTATGGGGAAAGTTTGAACTTGTCGTTAGTGGAAGGACAGTTTTATATATGCATGAGATGTAACTGTATGGATGAGAGGAGGATGGGGTTAGCGTTAGGGTTGGGCATATGTACTTGCTCGTGTACTTGGAATAAATGATCTAACCCATTATAAACCAATGCTATGCAGTCAAATATTGTTCATTTACAAAGATTTTAAATGATATAGATTTCCAAAAGTACAACATATGGGGGAAATGCATTGAAAATGATACAGGCCAAAAATATTTACATTTCATTGAATTTTAAGCCACAAAAAAGAAACATTAGAATATATTTAATATTTAAAGAGGCCCTTTTTTCCCAGGAAAAGTGCAAAATACAGCCCCTTTAACAATGAATCCAACATTTCCAATAATGCAGCTACACAGTATATTTGTGTCATAATGCGGAGATAACCCTGATTACATCATTGTGACATTCCCAGGATTATTGTTCTCATACTTGACAAAGCTCCTCCAGAGTCCAAACTAATTATTAAACCGTTCTGAGGCGGTCATTATTAATGCCTGAAGCAACCTTACAACCATATTAAGTCAAAACAGGCTTACGTTGTCTACTGTAGATGTCTCGATTTACCAGAATACAGATGAACTAATCTATCTGTTGATGGAGTTTGTATGTGAGCATGCAGACAGCAGGATAATCCCTGTGAGAGAATCTCTGCTCTTGTAATGGCCGCAGATTAGAGGCCTCAATCAGCTCTCTTCGCACAGAGTTGCCTAGGAAACGCGCTGGCCTTTACACTTTTTGTTAGTCAGCTTTATCCAAAGTGTTTATACGACAGCTTTGAAAAAAGGACATTTCAAGGTCATTGTATTGACAACACATTTTTTATGCGGCTGGTGAATTCCTAAAATAGACTTGCACACTATGGCCGTGTGTGTTTTGTTTTCTTTAACACACAAAGACAGCACTCCATACTGCTTATCTTTATGACACACACGCCTGCCTTTCAGTATTGTGTAAGTGCAGGACATTTATTTAGTCTGCTATCTCTGCACTTCTCTACCTACCAGCTCACTTACAGTCTGTACACATGTTCATGTACTACTGGTTGTTTTTACACACAGACACACTCATGGATCGCACACAAGAACAATAAAGCAGTTCTGAGTGATATAGATCAGATTTGGCATTCGATCAATAAGTAGCTTCTTATGTATTGGTGTGCATATTCTGCTGCTCAAAACACACCGGGATTAATGTGATTATTGACACTGCTAGAAGCACACCATCGATCAAACGGCATCTGATATTGCTGATATTATTCCAGTTTAGTCCTGGTAGTACTGTGTGTACATGGGAGTACATGTAGTTCAATATTAAAGTAAAATAACTTGAATGTATCTACTAACAAGTATTGTGTGTGTATCAAAGCCTGATATAGATTCATTCTTTGTGCCAAGGAGCTCTAAAAAAAATCAACAACACATTCATGTAAGCCACATCAGGCACTGGGTGACCTGTTCCTTATTTACCATGAACACACACACTCTTATTTTTGATTCAATCCCACATACAACGCCCTGCTGCCACAAATACTCACTAGAGCTCCAAATAGGGATGCATCCATCACAGAAAACATGTTTAAACAAATAAACAATTTCCTCCTGTTTGTGTGGAAAAACTATGTTGGCCTGCTGTATAAAAGGAAATTACTCGGCCATATGATCATGGCAGGTTAATCTGTTCCCCTCTAAACAAGTGCATTCAAATCAGTCGAGACAGCATGAAGACTTGGAAGACCGCCAATTGCAACATGTGCCTCCTAACACCCGTAAGGCTTTATTTGGCTTGGCCACCATTCCCACTCTACAAATGAACCTGTAGCTGAGACAAGTCATCTACAAATGGCATTATACTACAGGGTGTATGGACACACCACGTTGTGCCTTATTGAATGGACTACGTAACGGCACAGAGGTTATGATGAAAAGACAAAAAAAGCACAAAAGTGTTTTCAGGATCTTCTTCAGCCTCTTACTATACAGCAAACAATCACATCAGTGACTTAGTGTTGATCCCCAACAACACAGTCTCACGGGGCTCTGTATTGATGTAGAAGATTGACTTTTTCAGCAAGACTATTATTAATTATAATACCTTCATTACCCTCAGTTCCCACTATGATTTATCTCCCTCAGTTCCCCGATCAATTCAACCTGAGGTCTTTTTCATCAGGATGCGTGTTTGTATTGTTTATGTGGTTTCAATCCTACCTGCACAAATTCAAACTTTGTACCTCCTACAAAATATTCATGACAATCTGAATGAATTCACACAGCACATAAGTTAGCTACACCAGACAGGCTTTATATCAATAACATGAGACATGCAGCTATTAATAATTAAACCCATTGCCATGAGCATTCAGGACCACTTTTTGGCTCGAGACACATCACTATACGACTACCATGTACTGGGGAGTCACACCTCGCTATACAACCAACCAACCAACCAAACACACACACACTTTAGACAGAAACAGCTTGTTTTGTCTCCAAATTGGTAGAATCCTTTTTACTACCTTTCTATGATCAAAGCTCCCAGCGTCCCACTCCCTTCACTCCTTCCGTCTGCCCTCATCAAGGTGTCTGGTTGCCATGGGTTACACAAGGATGGAGAAAGCAGCTGCCAATCAACTTCAACATTAAGAGTGAAGGAGAGTGTGTTGAGAGTATAGGGGCCGATCGAGCCCCTGTGGACGGCCCTCAATGCTGCCTCCCAAATTGAATTGCAAAGCAGCTGCTGAGCAACAGTTCAGATCAATGAAGCGAACATTTTGTGTCTTCACCGGCCCCTCTCTCTCTCTCGGCTATTGTCCATAACAGTCTCCTAAAACCATTACAAACCTCTTCTGACACTGATTACAACGTTTATGAATACATTTGTCCAAAGTGCTTCACACAGTCATTATAAAAAATGGACTCAATGAACGGGTCACGGTGAGTTTCAAATACGGAGGACATAGTCCACGACGTTACTGAAATCAAAGGATCTATTTCTTGGATCGTTTGAATATGGAACCAGAAGAAAGGACAGATACACTTTGGTGCCGTGTTGCCAACAGTTTGAAACCGTTTTGGGAATTGCTGTAATATTAGATTTTTTAAATATTTATTTTCATTTATCGAATGTGAGATAATACCGTTTCCCCTTGAAATAGTTGTAATAATATTTAATGTTTTTGAGGTTTAGACTGTTTGTTTGACAAACCTTTTAAGAATTGCTCATCACAGCTGATCCACAGAATGTTTGAAACAGAAAATAATGATGATCCGATTAATGGAAAAGTAAAACAAAGGTAAAAAAATGTAAGCGTTTGGGTTTGCCTTTTGTGTGAGGCTGCTGCAGTTGATGCCTTTCATGCTAAACATTACCTGATTGCGGAGGAGAGAGATAATTTCAACCCCCCATCCTCTGTATTTCTGCTGACAATCAGACAACCAAAATAATGAGGTCATTTTTACCAATAGACACCAAGCCAACCAGCTCTGCAGGAGGAGTTGGTATTATATGCCACAAACTGCATCATTAGAGCCACAAATCACTTAATGCTCCTCTAATAACAAGCAATAGGTCCCAGGAGGATACACATGCACTGCTATGTAAATGTACACACACACGTACACACAATGAGAAGTGTGAGGCAGCATCTCATTAGACAGAACATGTAAAAAAAGAAACGTGTGTCTGACTGAAGATTGGCTTTGTTGCGTGGCTTTAAGGCCCTTCAGTTTCACTTGACTGCGTATGTGTGTGTGTGAGTCCTTTAGAGGCAGACAGAGCTGTCAGACAGAAAAGCAAACTGTGGGATTGCCTCTGGACGGCGAGTCGGCTGTCAGTGTTTCACCTGCAGCACACAGACGGTGTGTATTCACAGCTTTGACAGCAGGTCTGTGGTCGCCATTATTCACGGTCCCCAGGGCTTTAATGTCTTGTGCTTATACTTCAAAAGCCAGTGCACATCCTCGATGTCTGCTGAATATATTAAAACCACCCCTCTCAATGTGTGTACTCGTGTGTGAAAGCAACAATGCATTCTGGGCACAAAAACACCATAAAACTGGTGGACTTGCAGGAAAGGGCGAAAAAAAGGCTAGAGGGATTCCTGGCTTATAATTTGTTTGCATGGATCAAGAAAGGCAAAAAACACTAAAACATACATTAATGCAATCTCATAGAATATAATATATATTCTTTCTCTTTGTGGCATTTCTTTGCCTCTTTCTAGTTGTTTGGCATATTTTTGTGTCCATTTATTTTCATTATTTTATTTTAAATGCATTTCTTTATTGCTGTGTTAGGTCTCTTGGCTGTTTGGTTTCTCGTTGGTTGCTTAACGTATCTTGCATCTTTCCATGATTTCCAGTAGGTCGCTCAGTAATCCATTTAATGATTAATGCTAGATGACCAATGGAACCAATTGGAACATTATTACATGAATGCAGTTGTATACTCCGAAAACCAGTGGAGTAACAGGAATCGGATTTGTAAGACAAAAAGCCCACAAAATAAATGTATTGAAATTGCCAAATCATTGCTACAAATCAGCAGGAGCCACACACACACACACACACACACACACACACACACACACA